AAAAATAAATTTATTTGTTACCTGCAGTAGCTGTAGGCTTTTGGCGAATAAAAATGTAGTGTTAAAGCAAATTTCTTTATTTCGTCTGTATATCTGCATCTTCTTGGTGATTTATTTCGGTTCTGCCATTCATTTTTGAATAACTCTCCAACCATTCCATTAAAGTTTTTCAAAATCAATTCGCACCCATCATGTTCAAGAACATTCTTGTGCCTATATTGTCATTATATTGAACACTTTCTTGCATATATTTTTCATTTATTTATGCTACATACATATATATATATATATATATATATTGTTGATCACGCAGTAATTTTTCTTCATTTCACTAAAGAATTATATATTTATATATAATTGTTTAGTGAAATGAAGAATGATACAGGTATTTGAAGTAAATATGACAATCCTGGTAAAAATTCCAGATAAGAAATATCAAATGTATTCAATATTGCATAAAACTCATGNAGAATATTTATGCACTATATTCGATAAATTTGAAAAGATTGTTATCTGAAACTTTTACAANGAAATATCATTATACTAGAAATCCCAGTATACAATTACACTTCGAATGTGCTCGAGTGTATATGTAAAATGGGATATAGTATTTATCTTCAAATTACCTTAATTGTTTTAATAAATCTTGGAGTGAACGAAGTGTTTGATCTTTTCTTCTTAACTTTTGTTTTAATGTTTTAATTTCTCTCTTCATTTTTTTCTTTCTTGGCGAGATTTCTTGCTTTTTAAAATGTAATGTGCAACTATGCATTATTTTTTTCTGTATCTTAGGATGCTGCACAGTATCGGAGACATTTATACTAGTTGCCACAGTTGACAGATCAGCAATCAAAGCAGAAGAAAGCTGATCTGTTGCTATTGCAGATGTTGATGNAAGATCGATACTTGCATTTTCTACTACTGTAACTGTGGTTAGAGGATNGGCAATTGAATTTTCTGGTGTACTTGATATTTGTGAAAATACATTTTCTGACGTGTTGAGAAATATGGACGGAACAGCACTATAATTTAAG